GTGCAGAGAACTATTTGAGCTAATCCTTTCTTAGAGTTTGAATTTCTTACGTAATTTAATTCTCAACCAAGAAGCTAGACACCTGTCACTAATACTGTTTTGTCCATTGTCCTTCTACTTCTCATTGGCTATATCTCTTTATTAATGGGGCACTCCAGATGTTTTGGCGGTTCACACTTCTACAATTCTCCTCCAACATTGCCAGAAGAAATAGTTAATTTCTGAAAGATTTACAGAAGTGCTATGTAGACCTTTCCTGTTGACATGTGCATACTTTTCATTTACAAAGGACTCCTATAGAAATCTATTATGCAGATTTCCTACCTCTTGTTGAAGAAACAAAAAGGAGAACGAGTGGGTGGTGACTTCTATGCCATTAATTTCATTTTGAGCTGATTCACATGAATGAGTCACTGATTGACTGACTCTTCAAAGCTTTTGATTTGGGATGTGTGGAATGGAAGGCCATATATGATTATCATAGCTGAATAAAAAATCTACAACATATTTCACACAATATATTTTGATGCAGTTTTGTAAACACCCACTTATTTTCAAAACTATGGGGTAAAATCACTGTTAAAACACTGTAAAACTAACCTTGATAACTTAACTTTCAACTTAATAAATTAGAACGTTCTTCAGATCACGGATCCAGCTATCCATTATGCTTACATCCTGGGTGTCTATGGAGATACTCAGTCATCTATGCCATGATTGTGCAAAAGGTACTTTTTCAGGAGGCAACTGGACTTTCTTGGTTTTCAAACGTCTTCAAAGAAAAACATTTTCAAGAAAAAACAAAGAAAGTCCAATTGCTTCTTGAAAAAGCATCTTTAGGACTTACATCCTAAGTTTGTCACCTCAACTCTGAGGCACCATGAAAGGGACAATAAGTAACACTTGTTTTAAAAAAAGTCCTTAATGGTACCCTTTTCAGCAGCTTATTAAGCGTGTCAAATGAAGTGAGATGCTTTACAAGCCTGGATTTTTTAAAAAAACACAAAAGAAATTTGTCCATTGCCCATGTAGGTCCAATAGGAGGAAGGGAAAAGTTTGAAGTTCATTACTTCAGGGTAATTAGCTTGACCCCTGATTGTATGTAATACTTGCTGAGCACAATCTGTTCCCTCTGGAGGCCAAGATGAAAATATGTTGTTCTAAACTAAGGAGAGCTTGAAAATAACTAATGAACGGCCCATTAATTTCCAGTGGTACTAAAATGAACGTGTGGTGGAGGTTGAGGTGCATCAGGTCTTGTGACCCAGAAAATTCTGTATTGGGAACTTTGTCATAACTCCAAGTAAAATGCAACTAAAGCCAAGTAAAAAAGAAAAGAGAAGATAAGACTGTACAGTTGTATAACTCTACTTTAATTGTAGAAATGGGTGGATTCATTTAGAATAGAATAGAATAACAGAGTTAGAAGGGACCTTGGAGGTCTTCTAGACCAACCTCCTGTTTAGGCAGGAAACCCTACACCACTTCAGACAAATTGTTATCCAATCTCTTCTTAAAAACTTCCAGTGTTGGAACATTCACAATTTCTGGAGGCAAGTTGTTCCACTGATGAATTGTTCTGTCAGGAAATTTCTTCTTAGTTCTAGGTTGCTTCTCTCCTTGATTAGTTTCCATCCATTGCTTCTTATCTTGCCTTCAGGTGCTTTGGAGAATAGTTTGACTCCCTCTTCTTTGGGGCAGCCCCTGAGATACTGGAACACTGCTATCATGTCCCCCCTAAGTCCTTTTTTTCATCAAAGTAGACACCCCCAGTTCCAGCAACCGTTCTTCGTATGTTTTATCCTCCAGTCCCCTAATCAACTTTGTTGCTCTTCTCTGCACTCTTTCTAGAGTCTCAACATATTTTTCACATCATGGCGACCAAAACTGGATGCAGTATTTCAAGTGTGGCCTTACCAAGGCCTTATATTTAAATAAGTAAATCACATGTGTGTATGGAAACTTATACAGCTGAGTCTCAACTGCTTTTCCTCCATTGACCAACCAGATGTTGCCTGAGAGATAATGAGAATTACCATCTATACATCTGGATGACTAATCCAGATAAGGTGATATTATTATGGTTAGTGGCACAGTCAACCAGATGTTTAGACTGGATTTGGTATTTTTATCCACCTATCAAGACCTTCCCATGGATCTAAGATAGGCAGATTTAAAATAATAATATTAAAGATATCACAGGTTCTAAGCCAAGGGTCTTCAAGCTTGGCAAGTTTTAAGACTTATGGACTTCAACTCTCAGAATTCCTGAGCTAACATGACTGAGGAGGAATTCTGGGAGTTGAAGTCCACAAGTCTTAAAGATGTCAAGTTTGAAGACCCTTGTTCTAAGCTGTTCCAAGTAAAGGTGCCTTTTGCAATTGACTGATAGTGATTTTGTCAATGTGTATGATGTCCCAGTTGTGCTCCAGAAGTTTGGGAATATCAAGATTCTCCCAAGGACCTGATGTGTTTTTTTGTACAGTCAGCCATATATTAGACTGAGTTTAGTATTTTTTATTCACCTATCCAATCCTTTCCAAGATGACTACAGGTATTAGCAGATTGGGAGGCACTCAAGGTAGTGGAACATTTAATGGAAGTCAAAATCAGCACCTTGGTCAGCGTTCCATTGGACCAGAGATTCTTTTACAATCCTCAAGAGGGGTTTGGACATCTCAAAATCTGTGAAATAATTGGATAAGGGATATGGGTCCTAGCTGTTACTTTTTCTGAAGCATTGACTTGGCAATGAATTAAGAGGCTTTCTCCAAGTTAGTAATTTATGTTCAAGTAAAGATTTCTTTCTTGGAGCAGGTTACTGGAGATGGTGCATCTACTATGGAAGCTCCTTCCTCTGATAAAAGATTCCCTTATCAATTAATTTCTAAGAAATCACTGGATCACTTCTTGAAGTAAAAGTATCTGGGATTGGGACCTAGGAATCGAGGAGAGAATCAGGTTCAATCCACCCCAAAATAGATTAGTTAGGGCAAAGGTTGGTAGAACATTTGCCAAATCTCAACTAGCAATAGCACTTAGATTTACATACCACTTTGCAGTGCTTTACAGTACTCTCTAAGTGGTTAACAGCATCAGACTATTGACCCCAACAATTTGGGTCCTCTTTTTACCAACCTCAGAAGGATGGAAGGTTGAGTCAACCTTGAGCCTGGTGAGATTTGAACTGCCAAATTGCAGGCAGCTGCCAGTCAGCAAAAGTAGCCCTGCAGTACTGCACTCTAACCACTGTGCCATCCTGTGACTAGTTGAATGAACTAATTCGAAATTGATGAATTGGAGCCTTTCTCTCTTGTACGAGTTTTATTGAGTAGCTTTGATTGGACTAGGTTCCTTCCTTCCTTCCTTCCTTCCTCCCTCCCTCCCTCCCATGCTTCAGTATATAGTGTGGGAAATATTATTTGTAACAGTCTTTCAATTATTGTTCCTGGAAGAGTTCACAAGATCTGTCAAACTCTTTTTAAGCCATAGTCTGTGCTTTTTAAAGTCTTTTTAGCTGATTAATCAGCAAGGGAATACTTTAACTGGCAGTATAGATATTAGTAATATTAATGTATACATGGAGTAACTAAAGAAAATGATTAGCAATAGAGTTTTTCCTCTTCTAACCTCAGTTTCTAACCTCATTAGATCCTAATCATCTGTTGGTTTCCATGCAAATATTTTATAATTTGCATTTATACATTTATGTAATTATAATATAGAAGTATTGCTGTCCCTATTGCTTATTTCTTCATTTCTTACATGCTAAGGGCTCATCTCTTATTCAAAGATTACTCACCCACAGAGGGTAATGAGATGTAGAAAGTAAAGCAATGCCTCTTAGATCAGATCTTCAAAATAGTTTTAGGTGAGTTCTGGGTTTTCTGATGGAATTCTATTTCCTCCTTTCAAATACAGACAATAAAACCTGGAAGAACAGCAGATCTCTTTATCAAACTCTAGATTTATAATTAAGAGTTATAATCTTAATTAAGAGCTTTAGATCTAGGGAGAAGAAACCATGTCTGATGACAACTATGTTATGTATCTCAGGTTGAGGTGCTACACAATTCTTCATGTTGGACCATACCTGTCGTATCTTTGTTTGAGACCATACAGAGAATACACAGAGCAATTTGTGATTTATCCTCCAAATTTTACTTCCTCCTTTTTTTTTTTTTAGATTAAAATGAGGTCGATGAATTTCCACTTATCTGAGAACACAAGGTCTCAATTAATATTTCCTTTATTTATGTAAACATCATGTAAACATAGTTTGATGCCCTGTGATTGCCTTGTGCCCTTTCTTTTCTCTTTCTTTTCTCTTTATTGGTGCGTCGGATAACTAAATGGACCAAAACACACAGCCTTCTGTGCAAAAGTAGGAAAGAGTCTATTTTGTTAAATATTCCCTTTGACATTGGTAATGAGTCTTAGAGGGGTAACGCGCTGCCTCGCAAGCCAATGAAAGTTCCCATTTTGTACAAAGGGAGGGGAAGTTGGCAATGGGTTGCCACTTCCTCTGCCCCCCAGATAGTTTGGCTCGAACCGGTTCTTCGCCTGTAAAGAAAAAGTCTTGAAAAGGACCTCAGCTGACCAGAATGTGAAAGTTCCCTGGGCATCGACCACAGAACAAATTGGTGCTGAGCCCAGAAGTTCTGTTCTGGTTTTCCTTTGACGAGGAGCTGTGTGGGTTTGTTGCTAACACCCATCTTAAATGAGCGGGGAGAGAAATCTCTTGTCCTCTTGAACTTTACCCCAAGCTTGTAAGTTTTAAGAAGTAAGTGTAAGAAGGGAGAAATAGAGACGGTAGGTAACCTAGGAAGTTTAAGGACCAAAAAAAGGAGAGAAGCCTGTGTTCCACCAAGTTAACATGTCAGATGGAAAAGACCACCAACAGAAGCAACTCAATGGCTATGGAGAGAAGGCGAAGGAGAGAAGCCGCACTTCCTTGGTTATTCGACAGTCTGTTAACCGCAGTATTTTCACCTCTGCAGTCTCTCCCGCCGCCGAGCGCATCCGTTTTATCTTGGGAGAAGACGATGACAGCCCGGCACCACCACAGCTCTTCACAGAACTGGATGAACTTCTACCTGTGGATGGGCAAGAGCTGGAATGGAAGGAAACGGCCAGGTGAGTACCGTTCGATGGGCTGGTTGGGGTTGCTTTTTTGTCCTTGAGAAGAAGGTTCAAGAATCTGGACCAATCCTACATGTTAATTGGGGGGGGGGGGGGGGGACCCAAAATTTCCTAAAATAAGCGGTTCCACTGTATGGATAATAATTATAATCCAATGTTCAGGAAGGTGTTTCTGAACAGCAAGAATTTGTTCTCGCATTGTATTTTAAATACCTCTTTAGAGAGCTTATTGGAATGAGTTGTATTCCAGGAAAAAGTACATTACAGTCATATTTCATATTACCTATTTCTGGTGCTTTCAACCATTGAAATAGTTGAAAAGTATTGAAATAGTTTTCAAATATCAACCTTTTACAAATTTGATGGGAGATAGGAGCTACATATATATGCTGAATTAAGCAGTCAATCAAATCTTGGCTCAGCTAGTAACTTATTACATATAAGTTCTTTTTCTTCCTCAAATCCCCTTCTCTAATATGGAAATAATAAAACTAGCCAACTTCATTGGGTTATGCTAAGGATTACTCAGATGTAAGCTGGTTTATAGAATGCAGTAAAGCCATAATTGATGGTTTAGTTTTGGCTGAGCATGTTGCATGTGGATTTGTGGGTTTGTAAAATCCTGACTTTAAGGCTCACCCATCCCCAAAGGTGCATGTTCAAAAGGCAATTGGACTTCAGATGGTCAGAACTGAAGAAGCTTCTTGGATGAGAAGCGAAACATCTTCAAGGAAAAACAAATAAAAATCCAGTTGCCTTTTGGAAAAACACCTTTGCATGACCTGGATGACGGAGAATTTCCATAGATATTAAGACTCAATCTATCATGTGAATTCAGCAATGGTTTACATGGGATAGCATGATGTGTAAACTATTGTGTCTATGTAGAATATTTTGTCCGCTCAAAAAAAACCAAACCCATTTATAAAACATGGGTTTTTATACTTTACAACATAATAGTTTGTTTATGGAAGTTCTGAGGATCATTTATTGTCAGCCCCTATGCTTCTGAAAACCAAATGCTGGGACACTTATGGCTTTCCTTGTGCAAGTGGCTGACCATTATGAGAACAGGCTATAGGTAGTCTTTGATTTCTGACCATTCATTTAGCGACTGCTTGAAGTTATGATAGCACTGAAAAAAGTGACGTACAACCAGTCCTCACCCTTATGACCATTGCAGTGTCTCTGCAGTCATGCAACCAACTTATATATGTATGATAGTTGCAGCATCCAATGATTATGGGATTGACTGCCTCAGTCATCTTCTGACAAGCAAAGTCAACGGGAAAGCCAGATTTGCTTAACAACCACATGTTTCACTTAACAACCGCAATGATTTGCTTAACAGCCATGACCAAAATGATCGTGAAATCGGACATGACTCACTCAACAACCATCTTGCTTTGCAAGGGAAATTCTGGTCTTAATTGTCTTAATTCAAGGACTATTTGAATTGGAACTAGATGGTCCACGGCAGAGGTCTCCAACCTTGGCAACTTTAAGACTTGTAGACTTCAATTCCCAGAGTTCCTCAGCCAGCTCTGCTTAATCTCTTGAGATCCCTTCCTCTGCAATCTCTCCGTTTTAATTTAATTCTCTTCATTGCTGGGAGTTGAAGTCCACAAATCTTAAAGTTGCCAAGGTTGGAGACCCCTGGTCCACGGTATCTATGCAACAAGACACTATTTATATTCTTAATGATGAAATGGAATCATCTTATTGCGATGTACATGGAGTCTTCCACTTACGGTCACAACCTCATGAGCCCAGAATGTATATTGCTAAGTGAAACATTGGCGAAGTGAATTTTGCCCCATTTCACAAACTTTCTTGCTTCAGTTAAGTGAATTGCTGCCATTGTTAGGTTGTTAACACGGTTGCTAAGCGGGATCTGGTTTTCCCATTGACTTTGCTGGTCAGAATTTCACAAAAGGTACACACACACACACACACACACACACACACACACACACTTACACACACACTTACACACACACATGATCCTGGGACACTGCAGCCCTCCTGAAACATGAGTCAGTTGCCCACTGTCTGAATTTTGAGTTAGTGACCACACAGGGAGGCTGCAATGGTCGTAAGTGTGACAAGCGGGCGTAAGTCGCTTTTTTTTTTTAAATGATGTAACTTTGAACAGTCGCTCAAATGAACTGTTGCAAGTCGAGGACTACCTGTAATCATATACTCAGTGAGTCGGTCTCCAGACCTTCAATCTGGGTCTAATTCAAATGAAGCCCTTTTGAAGGGATGGTTGTTCAATTCAGACAAAATACGAAAACAAGCGCTGGGTTTCTCCGTTCCAACCCATTTATGGTTTCTTTGGAAGAGGAACCTAGAGATAAAATCGTTCCTGAGCAATGACCCCGTTAAGCAATAGTTAATGAAGATGCCATTAATGTAATCAGGTTAGTGATTCCACGGACCTTGCTTGGCTTAGCGGAGACTTTTAACTATGACGTTATAATAACTTATCTTTCTGCCAAGTCTGGACTCTTTATATTTTTCACTTTGGGGAAAATTACTGGGCTGATCGAAGCGCTGACTCAGGATTGTCCAGGATCTGTGACATCAATGCTTTTAAATATTAGCTTTTCAGATTTTTTTTTCGTTTTTTTTTTTTAAAGCTCTCCTAACTTACTTTTCTGCCTTAAGATATATTTTTTTATTGGATTTCAGTTATGGCAGATAACTTCCCCCCATGTGCGTTTCTAATATTTCTAATATTTCTGCTCCTTAAGGCAACTCCCTATGTTATTATTTCCCTAAGCAAATACCAGCAGTATGAATTTATCTCTTTCTGCAGTAAATATCAAGTGGTGTCTCGAATTAAAACTATTTAAAATAGTTTAGCGACTGTTCGAAGTTACAAGGGCACGGAAAAAAGTGACTTTATGACCGTTTCTCACCCTTACAATGATTGCAACATCCCCCATAATTCAGACGCTTGGCAACTGACTCGTATGTACGACGGTTGCAGTGTCTTCAGGCTCATGGGATCCCCTTTTGTGACCTTCTGGCAAGCACTTAATGACCGCGTTACTGACTTAACTTCAGTGATTCACTGAACGGGGGAAAGAAAAGTCATAAAATGGGGCAAAACTCATTTAACAGAAACTTTGGCCTCAGATATAGTCATACGTCGAGGACTTTCTGTATGGATAACATTCGCTATTCAGGGTGCACAGATATTTCCAGTCTACACTCATTCAACAGTATATCTCCTTGGCCAATTTTCTCAAGCAAGTAACGGTTGGGAAATTCACGTATTTATAATTATTGCTGCACATTCAGGCATGCTGTGGGAAATCAACGGGCTTTTTTTGTGTGTGTGCATTGAAAATAGGAAAATGTCCTTGATAGATCAATGTTAAGAGATACTTCCTAACAGGAGGACATTGACAGTGGAATCCTGGACATGTTTCCTTTGTGTGTTCAGGTAGAAGAAACGAGATAGCTTTAATTTGGGTTGTTCACAAAGGAGCTTTTTTCAGGAGACAGCTCGGTTTTATTGTTTTTTTTTCCTCTTCTGAAGACGTTTCGCTTCTCATCCAAAAAGCTTCTTCAGCTCTGAGAGGATGTTGGATTGATGGATATCCACTATCCTGTCAGAGCTGAAGAAACGTCTTGGATGCAAAGCAAAACGTCTTCAAAAGAAGGTGGGGGGGGGGGGGGGGACCACAAGGAAGTCCAGTTGCCTCCTGAAAAAGCACTTTGGGACAACCATGACCTGGATGGCTGAGAATCTCCACAGACTTTTAATTTGGGTTGCTTTACTGAGCTGAGATTTCAACAAGTAGCTTTGTATTGCATTGTAATCCTACTGTGACTTTAGTAAGCTGCCAGTGCTGGTTATGGAGGTGACAGGTAGGGTGATTTTTTTTCCCCATTTTTTGAAAGAATATCTTTGACATGAAGAATGGTTGCAAGAATTGGGTGTGTCTAGTCTAGTGAAAAAAGGACCAGGGGAGGCATGATAGCAGTATTCCAGTATTTGAGGGGCTGCCACAAAGAAGAAGGGGTCAAATTATTCTCCAAAGCACCCGAGGGCAGGACAAGGAACAATGGATGGAAACTAATCAAGGAGAGAAGCAACCTAGAACTAAGGAGAAATTTTCTGTCAGTGAGAACTATAAACCAGCGGAACAATTTGCCTTCAGAAGTTGTGGGTGCTCTATCACTGGAGGCTTTTAAGATGAGACTGGACAGCCACTGGTCTGGAATGGTATAGGGTCTCCTGCTTGAGCGGGTTGGACTAGAAGACCTCCAAGGTCCCTTCCAACTCTGTTATTCTGTTATTTATTCTGGCCCTTTTCGATTCTGGGGTTCTGTGAAGAACCCATTTTTTCCCCTAGGAAAATATTAATCTGGGCATTTGCCTTATATTTTGCATTAATTCATCCCAACCTTTTCTCAGCATTTTCTTCTATATTGACTGTTAGATTTTATCCCCCCAAAAGCCTCATTGTCTTTACTAAGAAGCTCACAACTAAAACTACTTGAGGTATTTGATCTTTATGCATTCTGTTGCAAAATGACCTGAATGGCCGAATTCCTAAACTCTCTGATTTTTGCTCCCTGCTTAAAGAACCCAGGAGCAAAATGCATTCAAATTGTAAAATAACTCAGTGCATTTAGAAATGGTGGCCTGGAGGCTCAAACATATGAAGAACGATTGCAGGGATTGGGTATGCCTAACCTGATGAAAAAAGAAGGACTAGGGGTGACATGATAGAAGTCTTCCAATATCTCAGGGGCTGCCCCAAAGAAGAGGGAGTCAAGCTATTCTCCAAAGCACCTGAGGGCAGGACAAGAAGCAACGGGTGGAAACTAATCAAGGAGACAAGCAACCTAGAACTAAGGAGGAATTTCCTGACAGTCAGAACAGTTAATCAATAGAATGAAGTTGTGAGTATTCCAACACTGGAATCTCTTTAGAAAAGATTGGACAGCCTCTTGTCTGAAATGGTATAGGCCCAGGTTTCCTGCTTGAGCAGAGGGTTGGGCTATAGGACCTCCAAAGTCCCTTCCAACTCTGTTATTCTGACTTCGTTTTCCAGCTTCATACATCCTTTTGCTTTCCCCCCCCTTACTATCATTTATAAACTCTGCTTTGTGGCTGTGGATTGCAACACAATTCGTAGACTCGCGCCAGTTTCAACTTATTCGGCAAACCATGGTTAAATTTGTGAATGGTTTGCATGATATGGGAATGGAGTCTCTTAGCTCAGATGCTTCTCCAACTGCTGTGCACGTGTGATTTATCTCGTTCTATTCTAGCAAGCGCAACGGTTATTAGCCCTTAGCTGCCACGCTGGTATTTGTGGGTTTGTTCTTTCGGAGAATGTTTACACAGCTTTCCCTGGTGCGCTGGTAACTAGATGACCCTGTAAGCTTCAAAGAGCTGTTCCAACAACAAAGCAATAAAAAGTTGTTAAGCTTTGTCACTTGAAGATTAAGCCATTTAGAGACCAAGGACAGTCAGGGAACTTCTTTTGTTCTGGCTCCTGGTACCACAGCTTGGTTGATGAAGTTGTGTTGATTTGCAGAAAGGAGTTGCACAACTCCATAACTAACCCTCTGCTACTGTTTTGTAACTTAAAGAGAAGTTAATCACCCCAAAAATGCGAGTCTGAAATGTTCTAATTCTGTGCGGTGTTTTTTTTTTTTTTTGAAAGGCTGGGTGGTCCTCGATTTATAGCCACAATTGAGCCCAGATTTTCTGTTGTTAAGTGAGACATTTGTTAAGCAAGTCTTGCCCCATTTTACAACCCCCCCCTTTTTTAACCACAGTTCTAAAATTAATCACCGGAGCTGATAAATCAGCCACCTGGTTGTTAAGTGAATCTGGCTTCCCCATTGATTTTGCTTGTCAGAAGGTCACAAAAAAGGATCACATGGGGACACAGCAACGGTCATAAGTATGAACCAGTTGCTCTTGGACTGAATCTGCAACTAAGTGGGAGTCTTAGATTCTTATGTCGCTTTGACTTCAAATGCTAATCCCAAAGGCGCTTTTTTCAGGAGGCAACTGGACTTTCTTGTTTTTTCCCTCGAAGATGTTTCGCTTCACATCCAAGAAGCTTCTTCAGCTCTGACAGGATTAATGGGGAATGGAGAAGCTGAAGAAGCTGCTTGGATGAAAAGTGAAACGTCTTCAAAGAAAAAAAAATCAGAAAGTCCAGTTGCCTCCTAAAAAAGAACCTTTGGGACAACCAGAACCTGGAGGACTGAAAACCACTACAGACTTCAAATGCTAAGAAAAAAATATATTGCTTTTTTTTTTGCAAATGCTAAGAAAATTTATTTGCTTGCTTTTATCTTGTATTTATTTTAATTTAAATTGGTTGCTTCAATGGATTTTATACACTTTTCATTAGTACCAGGAGTGGGATTCTACCGGTTCGCACCTATTCACTAGAACTGGTTGTTAACATTCTAAGCAGTTCGGAGAACCTGTTGTTAGAAGAAATTACTGGCCTAATCCTGTAAGGAAGGCAGGAAGGAAACATTCTGGTGTTGCTTACAGAAACTGCCTCTCCGTTAACCCTTATTACATTCTTGGCAGGACTAGACTTCCTGTCTCAGGAACGTCTCTGGAGTTTTTTCCCCCTCCTTTGCTGGTACTTTGCTTATGTGGAGTGACCATTCAAAGTTACAATGGCACTGAAAAAAGTGACTTATGACCATTTTTCACACTTACGACTGTTGCAGCATCCCCACAGTCATGAGAGGCCAGGTGAGGAGATGCGTGCCTCGATGTGAGTGATGTTGAGTTGTCCACACTCAGCCAATAACATGACCACCAAGCCATGTCCACCCAGTCACATGACCACCAAGCCACGCCCACCACCTAAGCCACGCCCACAGAACTGGTTGTTAAAAATTTTGAATCCCACCCCTGATTAGTACTACCACCTAGATTCACTGCATGAGATGGGCAGCTATGCAAATACGATTAATTAGATATACCGAAAGTGAAAGCATGAAAGTGGCCTTCAGTCTTGCTCTGACAGGTTGGCTTTTGTTCTATCAAGCCTAAGCAGGCTGAGATCCACCTTTAGATAAGTTCAACCTCATTAATTCTTTTTCTTGTTACAGGTGGATAAAATTTGAGGAGAAAGTGGAGCAAGGAGGAGAGAGATGGAGTAAACCCCATGTTGCCACGTTGTCGCTTCACAGTTTGTTTGAACTGAGAACATGTATAGAGAAAGGCTCTATTCTGCTGGATCTGGAGGCGTCAACACTCCCTCAAGTCGTAGGTAAGTCTTAACAGAGATGGACCATTCGGTGTGTAGCATCTTTGACTTAGAAGAATTGTTGGTCTTCTAAAGATTCTTCAGAATCTAATCTGGGTTGATCATTGGGAGCAGAGATTTAATCTTCTGAGTTTTCAGATTCATGATGCAGCCCATCCTCAGGTAACTTCTCTCTGTCAGAATGTGTAGAGAATGTGTAGAGATACTCATTCTTGAGAATCTTCTAAGCATAGCTGGCTGGAGAATTCTGGGAGTTGAAGTCCACAAGTCTTAAAGTCGCTAAGTTTGGGGGCCCCTCTTCTAAGCAGATATCAGATAACAGATAATCAGAGTTGGAAGGGACCTTGCAGGTCATCTAAACCAACCCCCTGCCCAAGCGGGAGACCCTACACCATTTCTGACAAATGACAGTCCAATCTCTTCTTGAAAGTCTCAAGTGATGACGGTCTCACAACTTCTGAGGGCAACTTCTGTTCCATTGGTTGATTGTTCTCACTGTCAGAAAGTTTCTCCTTATCTCCAGGTTGTATCTCTCTCCTTGTTCAGTTTCCATCCATTATTCCTTGTCTGGCCTTCAGGTGCTTTCAAAGGTCTGTTTTAATACTTGAAGGGATGTCACAGGGAAGAGGCTGTTGATTCATTCTCCATAATACCTGAAGGCAGGTCGAGAAACAATGGATAGATGTTCATCAGAGGGAGATCCAATCTGGAAATAAGGAGGAATTTCCTAACAGTGAGAACGATTAATCAATGGAGCGGCTCGCCTTCTGGAGTTGTGGGTGCTCCATCAATGGAGGTTTTCAAGAAAAGATTGGCAATCATTTGTCCGGGATGGTATGAAGACTCCTGCCTTGGACAGGTGGGTAGAGTAGAAGACCTGCAAGATCGCTTCCGGTCTTATGATTCTATGAATATGACGTTGAATTTGAAAATGAAAACCTAGGTTTATAATCCCGCCTCATTGTTTAGTAGGCTTAGATGGTCCATCAAGTGGAATCTGAACTGCAAGATGCTAAATTCTGTCCAGAGTTTGAGGCTATCTAGCATTCTAAGGAGCCTCGGTGGCGCAGTGGTTAACGTACAGTACTGCAAGCTACTCCTACTGCAATTTGGCAGATCGAATCCCACTAGGCTCAAGGTTGACTCAGCCTTCCATCCTTCCGAGGTGCGTAAAATGAGGACCCAGATTGTTGGGAGCAATATGCAACTCTGTAAACTGCTTTGAGAGGGCTGCAAAGCACTATAAAGCGGTATATAAGTGTAAGTGCTATTGCTATTTTTGGTGATGTATTAAAATCCCACCAGATTCAGTGGATTTGCAGGACAGTTATGCAAGAAGCCATTGGACTCTATTCAAGAAAAGCCATGTTTTGTTCTCCATTTTTTTTTGAACAGCTCACTCTCAAAAAAGAAAAATAATTGGACTTCAACTCACATACTTATTATTTGTAGGGTTATACATTTAATGTCCATTGTTTACAGTTAGTTCCACAGGTAAAGAAAACAAGCAATTCCTTTCTTTAAAAGGCAAGAAGGTGTAAATTGTTTCTAATCAATTTGTACTTACTGCCACTTGTCAGATTAAAACTTAGAGGTTTTAGCAAAAGAGGAAAGTAGGGGAAAAGTTGGAATTAATTAAAAAAAAAAAGTAAAATCAAGTGTTTCTGTATGCTGAAACCATTTCAATAGCCCTGAGGAATTTTAACAATATCAATAACCTTGAGGAAAGAGAAACTGTAATATTAAATTAGAAATTTCAGTTTATAATATTGAAGCAAGAAAAGAATCAACCAGCTGCAACTATAGAATAAAATGTCCAAACAATATTCTGGTATTTGCTTTTTAAAAAAATGTTTATGACTGGTTTGGGGAAATTATATCACCTAAAGTTTATTACAATTGGTTTTGTATGTTGATGTAAGTTCTTTTTATTTCTTTTGTAAATTGCCCTGGGAATAATGAGTATCTGTACAACAAAAGCTATAAATACATAAATTACAATAGAACAAATTAAATTCCTAGTTTGATTTGATTGAGCCTCTTGAGAGCACTTGCAAGAAGTGAGATGTTAGAATAGAGTAGAGTAGAGTAGAGTAGAGTAGAATAGAATAGAATAGAATAGAATAGAATAGAATAGAATAGAATAGAATAGAATTCTTTATTGGCCAAGTGTGATTGGAAACACAAGGAATTTGTCTTGGTGCAAATGCTCTCAGTGTACATAAAAGAAAAGATACATTAGTCAAGAATCATCAGGTACAACACTTAATGATAGTCATAGGGTACAATAAGCAATCGAATCATACTAGGAAACAGTCAATATAAATCGTAACGATACAAGCGACAAAGTTACAGTCCTACAATCACAAGTGGGAGGGGATAGATGATAAGGAGTGATGAGAAGATTAATAGTAGTGCAGACTTTGTAAATAGTTGGACAGTGTTGAGGGAATTATTTGTTTAGCAGAGTGATGGCGTTCGGGGAAAAACTGTCTTTGTGTCTAGTTGTTCTGGTGTGCAGTGCTCTATAGCGTCGTTTTGAGGGAAGGAGTTGAAACAGTTTATGTCCGGGATGTGAGGGGTCTGTAGATATTTTCACAGCCCTCTTTTTGACTCGTGCAGGATACAGGTCCTCCATGGGAGGCAGGTTGGTAGTAATTGTTTTTTCTGCAGTCTTTATTATCCTCTGAAGTCTGTGTTGAAAAAAATTAAAGAAAAACAGAGTTGGAAGGGACCTGGGAGGTCTTCTAGTCCATTTCCTTGCTCAAGCAAGAGACCCTATACAATTCCGAACAAATGGCTTTTCAGTCTCTTCTTAATATAAATTTAATATATAAAATATAAAAATATAAAATATAAAAGAATCATATTGCATCCTAGTTTGACTGGGCTGGTCATATTGCATCCTAGTTTGACTGGGTGGTACATGTAGTGATAATTCCAATTTTGTGGCAGCTCAATTTTGATATGTGAAGAAATGGTCTAGTCTGCCTGATCAGCTGCCCACGTAGTGACTTTGTGGTAGTGTAACACGCATGTTGTCATTAAGTTTAGGCATTGGTACTGCCAACTGAAAAGATACTCCTTTGGTCTTTTTTAGCTGCCAGAAAAAGAGAGTGGGGGAAAAAACATGGCATTCTTGAAATGCCTAGATATCAATTCAACGGCCCAAAGTTATCGGAGCATAAGAAGGTTATTGGAGAGCATGATGGATGACTCTTGGTCATTGTGATTTAGTACTGGCTGCACCCAACAACGCACCAACATGGCAATTTCTAATAAAACCAATTTACTCTTTCTGAGATGCGACTAGAGAGTTTTGCTTTGAATGAGGGGGATTTGTGGGAGCCCTGACAGGTACCTTATCTGGTTCCTTTATAAAGAGAACAAAGGAAAAACATAATTTCAGGTTAATGAAATGAAGTAAGCATTTTAAGATTCCATGGAGGCCTAATTATTACATTGCAGCATCAGGCCCTGAAGACTTGGTTCTCTCAATGGGCCTGGAAACCCCAGAGTGATATAGAGCCTATCAAATCTCTTATCTGATTATTTCCCCCGGGGAGAGTGGAAGGGGGTTGCTGGATTTTGTATTTGGGGTTTTATTTCTCTAGGCCACCCAGAGTCACAGAGAGTGAGTTGTGTGGCCGTATAACTTTTCTTAAATATATCTCAGATTGCAACCAGTGTTGTTATCCTTAGCCATCCTCACCCTTTCTGATTGGAAATGCAGGTACAGCCACAAATTATGACCACAACTGAGCCCACAATTTCCATCGCTAAGCGAGGCAGTTGTTCAGTGAGTTTTGACCCACTTTACGATCTTTCTTGCCACAGTCGTTAAGTGAAATCACTACGGTTGTTCACATTTTTGACAAACCAGTTGTGAAGCCGGTTGCAGCCCACCTCTGCCCCCGGGCCTTGAGACTGACAGCCCTGGTCTAATTAGTAAAACCCAAAGTTAAGAGTTTCATTCTTTTCCACCTCAAGCACAAAGTTCAGAAGCGGTTTCCAGGTTGGAACAAAAGTACTTATGTTCTTTTCTTGAATAGAATAGAATAGAATAGAATAGAACAGAATAGAATAGAAAATAGAATAGAATAGAATAGAATAGAATAGAATAGAATAGAATAGAATAGAACAGAATTCTTCATTGTCCAAGTGTGATTGGACACACAAGGAATTTGTCTTGGTGCAAATGCTCTCAGTGTACATAAAAGAAAAGAGACATTCATCAAGAGTCAAGAATCATCAGGTACAACATTTAATAATAGTCATAGGGTACAAATAGGCAATCAAATCATACTAGAAAACAGTCAATAAAAATTGTTCGGATACAAGCAACAAAGTTACAGTCATACAGTCATAAGTGGGAGGAGATGGGTGAAAGGAAGGATGGGAGGATTAATAGTAATAGTAATGCAGACTTAGTAAATAGTTTGACAGTGATGAGGGAATTATTTGTTTAGAAGAGTGATGGAGTTTGGGAAAAAACTGTTCTTGTGTCTAGTTGTTTTGGTGTGCAGTGCCTTATAGTGTTGTTTTGATGGTAGGAGTTGAAACAGTTCATGTCTGGGATGCGAGGGGATCTGTGGATATTTTCACAGCCCTCTTTTTGACTCGTGCAGTATACAGGTCCTCGATTGAAGGCAGGTTGGTAGCAATTGTTTTTTCTGCAGTCCTAATTATCCTCTGAAGTCTGTGTCTGTCCTGTTGGGTTGCAGAACCAAACCAGACAGTTATAGAGGTGCAGACAACAGACTCAATAATTCCTCTGTAGAACTGGATCAGCAGCTCCTTGGGCAGTTTGAGCTTCCTGAGTTGGCGCAGAAAATGGTCCATTTTTACCATTCCAGTCAACTCCATCAACTTTTCCCCTTTTCTTGCCCCTTCTCATCTGGTTTGATGCTCTCTTTTCGCCTTGCAGAGATGGTCGTGGACAACCAGATCGACACAGGCCTGCTAAAGCAAGACATGAAGGACAAAGTCATCTACACGCTGCTCAGGAAACATCGGCACCAGACCAAAAAATCCAACCTCCGATCGTTGGCCGACATTGGGAAGACCGTCTCCAGTGCAAGTAGGATGTTAACCAACCCTGATAATGGTAATGCAGAGGCCGGTGGGCTGTGGCCTTGCTCTGAAAAACTAACTCCGCTCCTAGTTCATGGAGGCACATCGAATCCATGAGTAACTTAGCATAGTGTCCCCCCCAACTTTTGGGGCACCAGTTCCATGGAGGGAGGTTTTTCTCGCGGACCGGAGGGGGGCGTGGTTTCACATGCTGCCTGCATCCCACGGATGGGGCTTGGCTTGCTTGCATGGTTGCTGGCATGCCACGGCCCAGTTCCGGTCCATGGAACGGGTGGTTGGGGATCCCTGGTTTAGCAGATCCTACGGATTGATTTATCAGCTATGGATTCCGAAGGCTTGTAGCGCTGCGTTGCACGGCTCTTAACTCTTCTCTGCTGCAGCCTGGGAATTACTGTGGATGTGCTTTGGTTTCAATTAGCCTTGGGTTGTGCTGAAATGCAGCGCTATCCACAGGGGAGAAGGACCAAAGCAGTGTGGTGGTGCCCCCTCCATTTTAGCGGTGCTGGTGTTGGGTGTATTGCTGCATACCTAAAAGGTAGAGCTAAATGTCAACGGAGATTCACTGTCATCCAGGTCACAGTTGTTCCAAAGGTGCTTTTTTTTTTCAGAGCTGAAGAAGCTTCTTGGACGAGAAGCGAAATGTCTTCAAAGGAAAAACAGAAAGTCCAGTTGCCTCTTGAAAAAAATGCACCTTTGGGATAACCATGACCTGGGTGGCTGAGAAGGTCCACGGATATTGATCTTTGCATTTGGGCCAATGCAAAGGTCATTTATTGCAGACTGACCCAGTGTTCTCATCCAAGAAGCTTCTTCACTTCTTCAGCTTCTTAAGTTCTTCAGAACTGAAGAAGCTTCTTGGATGAGAAGTGAAATGTCTTCAAGGTAAAACAAAGAAAGTCCAGTTGCCTCTTGCAAAAGCACCTTTGGGACAACCATGACCTGGATGGCTGAGAATCTCCATAGAGATTAATCTTTGCATTGTATCCAGATTGATGCGCATTCTATTCAGCCGCAGTTTATGACCTAATGGAAGGTTCATGGCGCTATCCAGCTATCACGATACCACTTGCATAATTATTCTGCTTTTTCTTCCTTATTTCTTTTGAATGTAGCAAGGGGAAAAAAACACTATGGAAATACAATGGAGTTAATGCGAAAAAGCGTGATCTCTTCTAAAATATTCTATTTAAGGCAGGGATACTTGCTTGATAAAACTATGATTTGAAAATCTGTTCTTTCTTCAAGATTGTTATTATGGGGAATCGGTTTTCAAAATCTAAATTGGGGGAAAAAATGACAGAACAAGATGCTTGATCCATAAGGTGTAGAACATATTAGAAATACTTGAACTTTTACAATTTCCCAGGACCTGGAGAATAGATGCAATTTGAAGATTAAGGTACAACTATCCATTTTCCCCTCTAAAAAGCTTTTTTCGATAAGAAAGGCAATGAAAGCCTCACAAACGTAATCCAGAAAGTAATACTGTATCACCTTTGTGAAATGGAAATTGCAGTGAGAACAATAATAGCATTACACCACTTAAACGAAAATGACACCTTCTCCGAAATGGTACATATCTCTAATTTGCTTCTTTTGTCAGACAAATTTGAATTGCACTTTTCAAAAGATTTTCTTCTAAGTGCTGCAAGAACTCGTGAATATGAGTGAAAAGGAAAATAGTTGAGAATCGAAAAGTGATAAGACTGTAGAAGAAGAAGAAAAAATAACACCATGCTTTAAGAACGGACGAAATAATTTCTTAAATATAGGATTATAGTTTTCTAAAAGCCAGCTATTCTTAATAAAATAATGAAAGATAGTAACAAGCTTAGTAGCCACATGAGAAATGAGAAACCCAGTGATCCTATCCTAAAACAAAGAATCCATCATTTATTTATCATGGTTACTTAAGGTTGTTAAAAAATGTATCAGGGAAGTTGCAATTGTCATTAAGTTGGATTGACTTGGAGGCAGGTCAATGGGATTTTATTCTCAAAACATTATTCTGCTTTATTTCAAATAGTTAAATAATGCAGAAACTTGAAAACTAAAGCGAGGGGAAAAAAAAGAACAGGAGAGGATTGACAGGTTAAAAGGAGCAAGCTAATGAGTCATTGTCACGTTATTTTAAGTCATACAAAATGGAACACGTTTTTATTCATTGCCAACATAACGCGCTGGAATCACACATTTCCAAATGTTCAGGTACAAATTGTTTTTTTCTCACACAGGCCATTTTTCAGCATGCATTCGAATCCAGCAACAACCTGCAAAATTTGAGCCAGGCTTATATTTTTGGCTATAGTATCTTCCATGATGAGTTATAAAATAACATGTGTTTGCATTTGTTTCAGTTTTTTTTCGGTGAAATAAAACCAACAGGTTGTGCTCAGAAATTTTACCAGATAACATCTTAGGTCACTAAGCTCAGATTTGCTTGTCCTGATTTAGAACATATTAGGTAGGGAAAGTTAAAATTTAGTCCAAAGAGGAGATACAGCACCCAAGCAATATTATATTGACCTTGGTTTCATTAAACATGAAATCATCCTACTTCTCCTCCTCCACATAATCATCCTCATCCTCACCATCTGTTCTGACTCAGGCTTCATCAAACGTAATTAATCACAAGCTTGTTTTAAAAGCAAAACCTATTTTATTGCGACACTGGGAATTGCTTTCATTCCCAGCCAAAACTAATCTTAAACAGTTCCCCAAGATTAGCACACACCTTTCAGTGCTGTGGAATGCTGCCAAAAACAGAAGTATCCAATTAATTATAACAGAAACCAACCGAAGTACCAGAACAAAACAACCAGAGTACACAGAGCTTCAAGGAGGACTCGGAATCTAATTGAACTGCTTTGCTTCCTGCAGAGCTTTCGTCATTGACTTTTATCCCTTATGGGAGGGGCAATCATCTCCCAGCCTTACGCCCGAGTTGCCCCTTCTGTTTCAGCTGCTTTCGCCTTCTAGCAGCTCTGCGCAGATGTGCACTGGGAACAGGCTCCCCTGGTTCCTCTGCCTCACTGCTGCCAGACTCCGAAGGCAGCACCCCACTCCCAGATGGTCCTGGCCCCATCCCTGCATCGGACGCAGGACCCTCGTCCAAGTCCTCTTCAGACTCCCTGAATGGTCCCCTTTCTTCCCCACTGTCCTATTCTACTGCCATCTGCACCGGCTGCCGGCGAACCACAACACCATCTTGACTTTTTAAAAACCTGAACATTCTTTTTTTTATTTTTTTGAAAAAAAAAACCAATTTATTACATCATCTAAAATGGCTGGATTTAAGCTTGTGATTGAATGTGATCCAAATCCCAGATTGTTTTGTAGTCAGGTGTTATAACTATGATCCTATAGATCAGATGGGGATGCGATGGCTCAGTGGTTAAAGACTCTGAGCTTGTCAGCTGGAAAGCTAAATAGCCCAGGTTCGAGACCTTGAATGCTGCAAGGTGGGGTGAACTCCTATCCTTGCCTCAGCTTCTGTCCACCTAGCTGTTCGAAAGCATGCAAATGTGAGTAGATAACTAGGTACCACTTTGGTGGGAAGACAACAAGTTCAGTGCGCCTCGGCGTATAGACATTTGGCCACATGACCATAGAAGTGTCTTTGGCCAACACTGGCTCCCTTGGCTAAGAAATGGGACAAGACCAACCCTAACCCTAAACAGACATGACTGGGCAGGGGAAATCATTACCTTTATAGATCAGACCTTGGAATTTTAATTTACATATGTGCATGCCCTAGGCAATTACAAAACCCTACTGGTTTGTCTTTCCACAACAGCCCCAGTTTCTCATATGGCCTTTTGGGAAAATTAACTGCTCACCCCTGCCTTAAATGGTATTCAACCACTCAAGGTTTTAACATCCTAACTGTCAGAATTTAGTTGGTTACGAAGGCTGGGAGTTCAGAGTTGAAGTCCCAAATATCTACAAGTCAGCAGGTTGGAAATGAATACGATGTATTTATGGGTCTCTTTTTGTCTTGGGATTCTTAGGAATATATAGGCCCAGCACCTAACCAAATTTCAGGAATGTTTATTTCATCTTGTAGGAATATGGTTATTTATAGCTACTCTTTATATCTAGAATGCCATGGGAAATTAAATGCCAAAATAAGTAATTTTGCTTATTTGTTTTAGAGAGCCAGTCCCCAAAATACTGCTTATTGTTTCTCTCTAGAACTTGCTGTAATTAACCCTGCGGTAAAAATTTTCATGGCCTAGGAAAAAGACTTTAACTTTTTAAGGGTGATCGTTGCTCCTCTATTACTAGAGGCAAGGTACCTGGGTTTTGTGGTCTCAACTCACTTGTAGTTTGGGAGAAGATACTCCAGGTCAGAAAGGAGGTGAACATATAGAGTAAATGGTACAATATCATGCAAACAGCCATGGGACTTTGCACCCTTGGCTCAATGCCAGTCACTTAATCCCCATATTTCTGGGGAAAAAAGGATCATATGTATAGTTCATTAAGTTAAAGAACAAAATCCTATGAACGGTTGCCAAATTCCAGCTTAGTTTCTTGTATTCTTTTTCTGGAATGTGTATGGTTTTCTCTTTTCTCTTCTCTTCTCTTCTCTTCTCTTCTCTTCTCTTCTCTTCTCTTCTCTTCTCTTCTCTTCTCTTCTCTTCTCTTCTCTTCTCTTC